TATATATAGAGAACGAGAGAAAGAGAGAGACAGAGAGAGAGATGGATAAAAACAAAGTGATAACGAACAGCTACAAAAATATCAAGGTTCATACGTACTCAAGGTGACAACCCAAGCTGCTGTTGGGAGTTTGACATAAATAGTAAGTTATTATCGCGTCATATTATAATATATCATGCTATATGTTATATGGGTTTATGACGACGATAGATATGCTACTCAAGCGACGCCTACTTCTTGATAAATACATTATTACATACTAATAGTATTTACGAGTCACCGCAGGTGTACCATAGCATTTCTAAATAAATAATTTCCTGTCCTATTCTCAAACGGCTTTGAAATTTTGTGATTGTATGATTATCAGTCGGGATTTTCAGAGTCAACAGCAATAATACACAGTAGAGTTAGGTTACTGGCGTAACTCTATGAAATGTTCAGATTTTTTTCAGATTGGCTGACAGCGCTTTTAACTTACACTGTGCAGACGGGAGATAACTCGCATCTCGCGGAAAAATACCATTCACCGCAATATTTTAACTAAGAAATAGACTGCCGCGGAGTCAAACATGATGAAACAAGTATGCTTTTCTTCATTTTCTCGTATCTGGTCATTCCCATTCGTCTAACAATTACATCAGCCAACTAAACAGTGATAATGTTGTTGTTGTTGATGTTTAGTTTAGATGGCGTATAGTACGATGAATTACGATAAGACAGGATTATCCACTCGGAAACGGGTAGTGCCAGGAGAGAGGAGAAAACACTCCCAAAGTCAGGCCCTAACACACGGTTCTGTATACATATTACATATATATATGTGTGTGTGGAAAGTCATTAGTTGGCTGAGGACGAGGGGCCGAGAGAGTTGACATGAAGTTTGCGCTTGTGTCTGTACTCATGTGTATGTGTGTCCATCTATACTTCTGTCTCATTTTGTCGCTATTTTTACAACCAAACCACGATCAGTACACTGTCAATATTTTTCTCGCTTTCGTGGTCATAGGTGACGGTATCCAGTCAACTTGGTCATGCACATTGATACCATACGGTCTACACAACTATATCATAATTATTCTTATTATTCTCATTATCCTATAATAACATAATTATAATTGTGATGATTGTTACATGACCACCGGAGCAATAATAATAATAATTATAGTAATAGTAATCATGGTAATTATAGTGGTATAATTAATAACTTAAAACGATTAATTGGTTCAAATTAGCGCTTAGTTGATGTATGCTTTTTCTATCATGATCGTCTTCGATCTTTCTCTTTCATTATTATAATTAATAATAATAATATTGTTTTATGATAATGCTCTACTGTTATATATATATATATATATATATATATATATATATATAGTACGAACAACAGCGGCATTCGTATACAAAATGCAGCCATGCGGTTCTGGTCATCGTTCTATAGTCACATATGCTTCTTCTCTATATTTATTCCGTATTTATATAGTCACATATCGCATTGTCTGTGGGTCGTTTCCTTGTTTGTGTGATGCTGTACAAAATAGGGATGGAGGTTGGGGTCAATTTTCCTAAGTCATCATAATAATTATTATAGCCATCGTTTATCATCGATACATTATATATATATATATATATATATATATATATATATATATATATATAGAATAAAAATAATCATTATTATTCTTATTGTTTTTGGGACATCGAGAAGACACCGCCGCTAAGACACAAGGATGCAGCCATCACTGTTGGGTAATCGGGGGCTCGAAGGCACCGAGGTTGTGGTTGTTGGCACACGGTCACGCCAAACACTACTCCTTTCGTCTTTCGTTACTTCGCTGCTTAGTTAACACTAAATACCTTTTTGCCGCTCTTCTTTCGACTTCATTAGTTGTTCTTCGTCCCATTGTTGTGTTCTTCATAACATCGTAAGATACTCATACTCACTCTCAGGTAAAGTTGTAAATGATTTAGGCTACTTTCAAAAGGGTGCAGGGTCAGTCATTCAAATAAACCATACCTCATTTGGTCAAAGGGGTGGAGGAAATGGGACTGGACAATGCAATCGTCATGAAACATCGGACAATAACGGAGCGGAGTCATTCTTTCCTTTTTTCCATCTCGATACAGCAAATCTACTTATAGTCGACCATACATTCGTAAATATATTCTCATCTCAAAAGAAAAAAGCAAAATCCTAGATTTTTAGTCGCCGACAACAAAATATTGGCGGTGACTGCGACACCAACGACCGCGCACAGCCCATCAACAGGGACAACTACACCGGTGCCTTTACAGCACTCGAACTTTCCGTGTGCCTTCTACATTTTTGCCTGTTTGCCTGGCTGGGTTGCCCTCACACAAAGACAACTACAATCAAATTAGGTCTCTCTCCCCTATATATATATATATATATATAATAAACTCTTTTTCACGTTGACTGGTAGATAGCTTTTTTGACAAAGCTGAAGAAACCACTTGCATCCTTGTTCCACTGTATGGGAGGAGGTTAAGTCAAGTCCACACGCATACACCGTCGGCAGTGCTTGCTGCGAGGACCCCAGCTCAGTTAACTAACAACATTATAAACGTTACTCTGTACAAGTAGAGTATAGGTCTAGAATTGTAACCATTTTCACTGTTCTACGTTTATTTACTGTCGAGGCAAAATGTTTGTCATTACAAATTAAATATTATCATTATTACCACTTCTATTTATATCAAGTGAGATTAGAGATGTATATAGTCTGCTCTTTCTGTACATTGCTATGTAGATAACAGAGAAATATATCAATAGACGTAATTTAATCGTTGGCGCTTCTCTCTTGGCGTAATTCCTAGCTTATGAACAAACTCATTTCTTTTTTCTTATGTCCTCCTCGCAGCAATCAGATCCAGACCAATGCCTGATGGACGCAACAGGAGACACGTCCATACTCAGGATATCTAGATAGACGTAAGGCATCAAATGGCCCTCAGATCTGGCGCCACACCGCCTCTAACCCTTCTGCCAGCATATACCCTCCTTTTTTAAACGGAAATAAATTTTAGGTCCAAGTTGACACAAGTTTACCTGGGCCGAGTATGATTATCCTCAACCGTATGGCCCGAAGCCATGGTATCTACCCTTAGCGGCAGCATTAGTTTCGGATCTAGCAGCGACTGTACCCAGGACGTGGATATGTAATTCCGCACAGACGCCATCACACACAACAGACCATTAAAAAACAGTATTTTCCATGCTAGAGGTAGGGCGGGGGCACAAGATCGGCCATATTTGTTGTGTTCAGTTTCTCGTCATCTTTATTCTCTCCGTCTCTTCGTCCTTAGTGTTTTTCTTGTCTCCTTTATCTGCAGCATTAAAGATTTAACGCGGCGTAAATATTCGTCTGGCACCACGCACCAGATCGTTGCGCTGCACCAACCATCGATCATATTATGGCTAGAAGCGTTCAATGACCTTCACATGCTCACATGCAATCTGACAATTTTCTCGGCGAAAAGACAATGAAGACAATGGAGAACAGGAGGCTCAGTACACATATCCTCCGCTTGTCCGATTCCACTCTGAAACACCTTTATCGATTCTTTTGCTTCATCATCTGAGCTCTTACTTTTTCCTCTAACTGGAGTGACCGTCCTTGCTTCCTGGCTGCTTATGTCCGTTGACGCTGTTGTGAAGCACAGAGGGTAGAAGACAAACCTCGACAATGTAATAGGAAGCAGACGCTGATCCACGTCTGCAGCTCGACAGCTACACCTTCAAAGGCACTGGCAACAACCTATTGCACAACCACGGGGAGAAAAATGGGGAACAAATCATGTCAGACTCGTACTTGTAGTAGATGTAACAACAGATGAAACCACAAAAAACTAGAATAGTGGACGCTTACTCGCATAGAGTAATTTTACTTATAGAGTAATTTTATGACTGCCATTTTCATGTTAATGCAGCAGCTTAGCTTTCTAACATAAACACTTGTTTTTTGTTAGCCAGAAACTGCTTTCAGCAATAGTAGTTAATTCTATGAACTGAAACTCTGAGCATCAAATTACTGCTGATAGAACCACGGGGTCTCTTTCTTTCACTTTGTGGACACTTTTCACTTCAGAGTTTATTGATTACTGCATGAAATAACGTTCTGTGTAACGATAAAAGAACTTAAAAAAGTTATGCAGTTATGTGCCGTTAGCTCTGGAACGATATGGAAGCATTAATTAAACCCCGTGACTTTAGAAATCTTTTGATTTTTTTTTTTTTTTTTTTTTTTTGACGACCAAATAAATCTAGACTTTATTCTAGTGTTGGTCGACTCCACTGACTAGTTTTTTGGAATAAGAGTATTTTTCGTGCGTATGAAATCAAATGCGAAAAAACGAAAACTCGTTGTCAAAAAACGTTCCAGAGTTACATCTGAACGCTAATTACCAAGTAAAATAATAAATTATGCGTTTATAGATACTCACTCGATGACGATTGGGAGACAATAGACTATGACAACTAGGAGCGGAGCAATCCGGAAGTCCTCCATGAGAATCGCCACCACCATTATGCGGGGGGAGGGGGGAGTGGTGTCGGGGCCAAAATGGCTGGCACAATCGGGTCGGTCCGCCTTCTTCGATGCTTAATGGAGGCCGATACCGTTAACGCCGCGGACGTTAGTTCCACGCCAAAAGGATCCCTCCTTTGTATATTTCCGAGTTCATCATCGTTACTAGGTTTCTTCGCATAGAATCCGTCTAATCTAAATATGTACACGTTCTAACTGAAAACTGCAGGAAATGTTTGAAAATAAATAAAAACATGTCAGATGCGATATCAATCATAATATTACTTAGTGGATAACCTAAATATGAAAAGTAGATACGCTCGATTTTAAGCTGGACCTTATCGTGTTTACGTCTGAATCCTTTTTCACCTAAAAAATTACTAAGCTGCTACTAAGAATAATGGGTATATTCTCGAGATACAAGACAGGATCTCGGTTAGCACTTACCTTACTTATAGAAACTTACCTATATAACAGCAGATTTCCCGGAGGAGTTAGGGGTGGCAGAAAAGTATCCAGTAGTTGCAATTTTCGTCTACTGTTTAACGATTTTTTGCGAGGGTTGTTGATGTCCTCCTGGAACCCCCGATGATTCGTCCATTTTTCGCTTCAAGCTTCCACCTGCACGAGTGCCACCCTCTACGGAATCAGCTGTAACAGAAATAAAAGGTGGCAATGTTATTTCATACTAAGTTAAAAATATAGTAAAATGCTGCAGCGGATAAGGATTTGTCTGGTTTCTCTGCATATCTAAACACAATAAGGTTACAGAAGCAAGACATGTTTTAGGTGCATTCACGTAGCACGTATCTTGTAGGCTTGAATTTATTCTTGGTATTGCCGTACTATGATATAAACATTAATATCAATTATCTTGAAAAAAACAAATGTAAAAACTGACTATTTTATTGTACATACTTTTTAAGATTTTTTCAAGATAAGCAACCTGAAACCTTTTTGTTTTCTCCAACACTAGACGAAGACTTACTATATGTTAGAGAAATAAGTCTTACACTTGCTTTTAATTCAGTGCCCGACATTCTTTGTTGAACCTTACCCTTTTGAATATAGATAGAAAAAACCGCCCCATAAATACTGTGTGCAAGTGCAGCAATATACTTTAAGGACGTATCGCATTTACCTAGCATTTTAAATTCCCACTCATTCTAGAGTGCAGTTTCTAGGCCTTCACGCTTGACGCGTGCGCACTATAAGCTTCCATTCAGCTTTTACAGTCGAAGAAAATCAGTTCACTGTGCTTGACAGTCATATGTCAACGTACCTGTCTTAACCTGCAGCTTGACTGTGGAGATAAGGTTGCCCTTAGGAAGCCCCACGACTTTAATCGTTTTTGGCGGTCCAGCTCCGCCTTGGCCTCTGCCCATTTGGGCAATACAACCACCCATTGCGTTATCCGAGCCTTCCGTATTTGAGAAAATTAACGTCAGCTTCGACGGCGAGCCTCCATTGGCCTACATCACATACCACCAGGAACACGACATAAATGAGACTGTAAGTCAAACGAAACGGTTGAACATACGACTATAATAAATAACCGACCTTCAAAATACACCGGCACCACAAGTAATAATGGCAGACACGGTAGCAAGGCATGGATATATACCTATGTATATATATGTACAGATACATTTATGCCTTCTTTTCCGGCAGTACAGCCCATTGGCATTGTTCTATGCCAACTTTTTTGCTACGCAAAATATTGGTGATTACTCGCGGTAACGACGTTCACTTGTTCATTAGTATTTCTCCACTTACGTGCATATAAGTTTGCACTGATAGACACTTAATTCGTCAAAGAGCAACACCGGGGAATAAACAGTAAACAAGACGAAAGAGACAGTGGCGATTGAGAAAAGAAAGACCCACCTGTAATCTTTGCTGAGGACTGGGTTGTTGCTGTTGTAGGTGATTTTGTTGAGGTTGCGTTAGGCCGGAGACGGGACTCGGCTGTTGTTGTTGGTGATTGCTGCTATTCATCGGCTGAGGTGTTGTTGCCGGACTTGGCGGAGCCATCATTGGTCCTCCTGGACCCATTCCACCACTCTGACCACCTACACTGCTGCCCTGCGAATCTGTGCCACCAGGACTCGGTAACGAAGGCGGTGTTGGCCCAGCGCTGCTTCGGCCATTGTTATTGTTGTGGTTATGGTTGAGATGGTGTAATGGGGACGTTGCACCCATCAGTGGTGGGTGGCCAGTGGGAGTATTCGGATTTCCTGAGGTTACACAGCTGTAGCCTCCAGGTGATGCTCGAGGGTCCGGTGTCGTAGCCGGAGAAGGCGACGCTGATGTGTTTAGAACCTGTTGAACAGTTTAGTCGAAGAACAAAGGCATTTGATTTAATTCGATGTTGGTTCTGTACGACAAAATGCTTCTCCGTTAATAAGGAAGACTTATGAAGGTGATGCTTATTGTCTGTCAAGCACTTTGTATTATTCGTAGTTCGCTAATTTCTTTAAAGTTTAAAGTTAGTGATACTAGTCAGCAAAACCATTTTAGATGTTTCGAAGCGAGTATTATAACCTCCGGTTATTGAGTACAGATAAAAGAGGTGTCCTTTAAATTGGTTCGATTATTAGCTCCACATACCTGTGGGGATCCTGCAACAGGCGAATGATTCGGGGAAGGTCCCCCGTGAGCCATTACATGGTGTTGCCGCATTACGCCAGGAGGCGGCTGTGAATGTCCGCCAGTAGCGCCCATGGGGCTTCCCATTGGCCCCATAGGACTGCCCATCTGACCCATGGGACTTCCCATTTGTCCCATTTGATTCGCCATTGGACTGCTGGCCATCTGGCCACCCAGCGACAACTGCCGGTTAACCATTTGTTGGTTTGCGCCGCCCATCTGTTGTTGCTGTTGTTGCTGATGTGTTTGTTGTTGCTGCTGGGGATGAGTCTGTGCGACGGAAGTACCGCAGCAAACAATGGAATAAGAATTAGTAGTACAAGCCAACTAACACTGCAGGCTAAACTTGTATATGTTAAATGAATGCGTGTATATGTTTTGGATAGATTGAGTTAATTACAATAATTAATAGAGAACTATTTTGTGCCCCGAGTGGGTTATTCCACTGCCGATTATAACCTAAGCATACCCAATGGTAACAAATTCTAAAATCAATTATGGCCTCGTGTTTTCTAACGCACCTGATAGGGTCCATTGGATACGGCGTGTTGCTGCTGAGTCACCATGCCAGCAGATATCGCTTGTTGTTGCTGCGCTTGTTGCTGCTGCTGCTGTTGTGGAGGTAGTTGCTGCTGATGTCGGTAGAGCATTTGCTGAGCTTGTTGTTGCTGTTGTTGTTGTTGCTGCGGCTGCTGAACGGGCTGCAAATGCGGCTGCTGATTCTGTTGCTGCAGAATCGGCTGCTGCTGCGCTTGCTGCGGATGCTGTTGTTGCTGCGCTTGTTGTTGCTGCTGTTGTGGCGGCATTCCCGGTTGTTGTACGCTCAGCTGTGGTTGTTGTTGTGACTGCTGGGCCGCCTGAGTTTGTGGCTGAATGCAGCCAGGCTGCATCATCCCCTGCGCCTGCATCTGCTGCAACTGCGGATGCATTTGCATACCGCCGGCTCCCGGCTGTTGTTGCATCGCCTGCTGCATCTGCATCGGCGGGGGCTGTTGCTGCGACTGCTGCATTGCCACCTGCTGTTGCTGGTTCTGCTGTTGTTGGGTAGCAGCCTGTTGCTGCTGTTGTTGTGGCGTCTGACCCGGGAACTGTACCGCCTGTTGCTGTGGCACCTGCTGCTGTTGCTGCATAACAGTCGACTGCTGCTGCGGATGTCCTTGCTGCATCTGCGGCTGGTTCTGCTGTTGCTGCTGCTGCTGTTGTTGCTGCTGCTGTTGCATTTGCAAAATTCGCTGCAACTGCATCTGTTGTTGAATGTTCTGCTGAGGCTGTCCAGCTGTGCCAGCAACTTGGCCAGGTTGACCTTGCTGTTGCTGCTGCTGCATGGCTAACCGCTGCTGTTGTTGCTGCATCTGTGGATGCTGTTGCTGCTGCATCGGCTGGCCCTGCTGCTGCTGCTGTAACTGCTGCATCTGTGGATGGCCCTGCTGTTGCATTGGGTGGAGACCTGCCTGTTGCGCATGCATAAGTCCCTGTTGCTGCTGCTGCTGCTGCTGCTGTTGTTGTTGCTGCTGCTGCAACTGCGCGTTCACATGCTGTTGCTGCATCATTTGTAGGCGCTGTTGAGGGTTGAGATGTGGTGGTGGGGGAGCTTGCTGCGGTTGTTGCTGCTGCTGTGGTCCCGGCTGTTGCTGCTGTTGTCCTGCTTGCATATGCTGCATCTGACCGGCCACCTGTCCCATCCGACCCTGTTGCGGTCCCATCGCTGGCCTCACTTGATACTGTTGCTGGTGTTGTTGCGGCGCCTGTTGATGCTGCTGAAGGGCCTGATGTGGATGTGTATGCATTCCCCCGGCAGGTGGTCCGCCACCGAACGACTGCTGCTGCGGCGCTTGCTGATGCTGGAGTCTGTACATCTGCTGTTGCGGCTGTTGTTGTTGCATAGCTTGCTGCATCTGCACTTGCTGCGGCTGCTGTTGCTGGTAGAGGCTGTTCTGCTGGGGATGGTGCATCTGCTGATGCACAGGCTGTTGAGCCTGCTGGGGCTGCTGAGGATGAGGCGCCATCTGCATGTGTTGCGATATCGGCTGCCCACCCATATGTTGGCCATGCTGGCCAACGTAATGCTGCTGTTGCTGCAAATGCTGTGGGTGCCCCTGTACATGCTGTGGCTGTTGGGGCACGTGCGGAGTCTGTTGGGGTTGCTGTTGATGTTGTGGCGGTATCCCAGCCTGTGGATGGCCCTGCTGAGCAAAGCGATGATCCAGGTCTGGGCTTGGCCTCCGTTCGAGCATATGGGCTAAGGAAGGATTAGCGCACTTCATCTGAGCGCGAGGGCCACCAGACGCAGCCTGCATCTGACTACCCATTGGACTCATGTGGCCGCCAGGCATATGTTGTTGCTGCTGGGGGGGCTGTTGCGGTTGCTGGGGGTGCTGTTGTTTTCGGTGGTTATCCGGGTCGGATGGAGGCGGGGTGCCGATAGGAAACCCCGCTTCCGTTAGGTCAATGTCCCCTTGCGAGAGCATCCACTCCTGCAGCGTGTCCAAATCCTCTTCGGACACTTCCGGCATTGCGCCGTCGAGAGGAGGCGTCGCCGTCGTTGACGAATTCTCAGCTTCTTTAAGTTCCTTTTCTCGCTCCTGCTCTTCGGCTAGCAATCGTCGCTGCTGCTGGACGACGCTCTCGATCGAGTCAGCAATTCGAGCCTGCATATCCTCATACTCACTCGCAGACATATTCGCTAATGGACCCGAGCCGCCAGTTCCACCTCGTCCCTTACCGCTTCCTGCAGTACCACCACAAACCAAAAAAAACACCCTTGGGTTATGTAACACTGCTGAGATCTCGCAGTCTCTGCATAGGTTCGATCATTCCTTTGCTGATAAAAAATAAAATTTACAACGTCGGTACAACACAACAGAACTTAGTCTCTCTACGGTAAAACAAGCATAGTCTAATGACCAAACCGATCATAAATGTGTGAACTAACTCAGCGTTCAAACTAAAAAAGTTACCCCGTACCAAGATACTGTCGAATATAATGCGTTATTATTGCAGGATGCCAGACGAAAAAATAAGAACTGAATTAAAACAGAAACAAAATAAAATGCTTCAGTACCTTGCTTACCCTTTGTGCTCTTTCCAAAGGAAGGCTGCACAGAGGAGGACGACGACGATGATGTTTGGTGGTTGGGTTTAGAGGATGCAGAACTTGTTGAGTTATTCATCGAGGGAATGACAGAATTTGGTGGAGCCACCGCGTTAGGCGACCGAAAACCCCCGGAACCGCTCCCACCACCCCCACCGCCAGGACCGCCTGGCCCGCCCACGCCCGAAACCGGATGCGGCTGAATAATTACGAATGATGTATTAGAATGATGTGGTTGTTGTTGTAGTCAGTTAAAGTGCATCTATCTCGTCTATACGGTAGCTTTAACAGTGGTTAATTCACCACATTGGAAATGATAGTTACAAGTAAATCTTTGTTAAAGCAAAGTTTTCCTTAGAATTTGGACAGTGAGCATATTACATAATAGTAATTAGCCAATCATGCAGCTCACCTTGAGGAACACATCATGTGAGGCATTGCCCGTTCCCACGTTGTTGCTGCCCATTAACGAACCGGGAGGGTCCGACCCATGTCCCATTGGGCCATTGGAATTTGAATGTAACGGACTCCCCTGATGTATAAACAAACGCAAAAAAACGAGAAACAAAAGAGAGCTCCAACATGTTATTTCCAATGCCTAAAGTGTTGTTTCAGTAATAAAGTATTATAAATTAGTTTCTGTAATTAATGCTATTTTCTTCCAATCGGTCGCAGTATTCCTTTCCCACAATATAATCAACTGTTTGTATGTCTTGAAGAGCTTTAACGGATAATCATCTGCGATCATTTTTCATATCCTTATCTTCCTCTTTATCCACAGCTGTTATCTCCTTATTGCTATTGCTTTTACCTGCTGTTGATTCGTGATGTGGTGGTGTGTACCGGGTGGAACAGGGGGGCCGAGGTGGGGGTTATGTCCCAACGGCGAGGGGGCTCCCGCCAACCCGGCGAGGCCCCCGTAACCCCCCGTGTAGCCCGTCGGTCCCGCCGTCGGGCCCGCCGAAGAGTTCGCCGGCGAAGACGTCGACCGGCCGCCGGGTGAGCCTGACGAGCCGGTCGCGCCACCTGCTGACGCGCTATTACCAGAAGCGGAGCCGCTTCCGATGTTCGAACTCTTCGAGCTGTTCGAACTGCCGGAACTGCTCAAGGTAGCGTTGCTGCTTGCACCTAACGCCGAATTCCCGCCGCTATGGCTGTTTGCACCGCTAGAACTTAGCGTATAATGATCCTGAGCAACCTGTACAGCTAGGAGGTCTAAATCAAGTAGTCGCGAGTCTCGGGCTGCCGCTAACCGGCTCAAACGCGCCGCCGCCTCCCGGGGCACGCTCAACGTGACACGCACGCTGTTCCACGGCTCCACTTTGGAGATCTGTACAAAAACAACAAAAATAGCAAGTAACAAAATATAAAGACATAAAAAATCGTTAGATTATGACAAGGCAAAAAAAGAACTAATGCTAATAGCATGCTCACCGCAGATTTCCTGACAAATATTAAACCGAAGAACCCTTATTTTTACACGCATATAGGCAGGTGTCAGGTGTTATTAGTGTATCTGGCCATAGTCCAAGCTTGACTCTAACCATGTGTCATTTCTATCTCACTCATAGTCATACCTTCCACGCATAGTTCGGTAAAATACACACACGCATTGGCAGCAGCAGAACTCAATTTGCCTTGCATGCTCGCCGTAAACGCTAAATGTGTCAGTCACAGTATTGTAAGTGGTCGACAACATCTATATGTTTATTGTGGTGATAATAGTGTTAGGCAAACAACTGTATTCCAACAAAAAAAGGAAGGAGATACACATACGTTGAATTTACCCCGTGTAGTATAGCTCGAGCTTTGTTTGGGCAGCAGCAGATGTTTAAGATTCCGGATGATCCTGTTGAGTTTGATAGGAAAATTGGCCTCACTGAGCGAGCCTTCACACGTGAGGCGAACTTGTTCACAGCCACCGCTGCGGTTAACAATGGAACTGGTGGCGCTATTTCGATGTTTCTCACTACCACAACCTGGGTTAGCGGTCGCGTCTACTATAATTGTAGTACTACTAACAATACCTGCTATTGCAGCAGCAACAGTAGCATTGGCCGTCGATGTCCTTCCACCCGCTTTGTGGGATAGCGATAGTCCAGCCTCGTTGTCACCGCGGAGGCTGTTTTCGTTGTAACTATTGCTGCTAATAACACTCCACTCTGTATTGTTGCTGTTGCTGCTATGGTCGTAAAGATCGGGCTGACAAGTGCGAGCGGGCAGTCCCGCTGCCGCAAACGCAGCTGTCGCACCGTCCAACGCATACGAGCCGAGCTCACAGAAACTTGTCGCACCTGCTCCAACTGCTGTAGCGACACCCGTGTCCACCTGTCCACTGTAGACTACAGGGTTCGTCCTGCTGGCAAAAGGAAGCTCGTTTTGTAAACACTGCCGAGGCGGCGGATGTTCTTGAAAATCTTCGGAAGATTGTTGTTGCTTGTATGAGAAGCAGAAATCAAAACAGCTTTCGTTGTTGTTGTTGTTGTTGTTGATGGAGTTTTTGCAGTTGCTGATACTACCGTCGTTTGCGCTGAAGATGTTGATGCTATCGCTGTTGTTGCTGCAGTTTCGGCTAGTTTCGGAAATGACAGAAGTTTGATTACAGAAGGTTCTGGCAGAAGGAGAAGATTCTTGCTTCGTGTCAACAACAATTACGTTGCCGCCCTGCGCCCGCGGTCTCTCCCGAAGGGAACAACCCGATCCGCCCGCTGCCCCGCAGCCCAAGCCCATGCCTGAAATCATCACAGCAGCAACACCATCAATGAGCAGACGAAAATGTACATCAACAACAACAACAACAACAACAATAGATTAGCATTCGTACACCCACCCCAAGAACCCACGTTCCCAATTCTCACCGAGGTCACGAGCCGAACCTTTTTTGGGAAAAATCGCATGCTTGCGAAGTTTTTGCTTCAAACAAAAAAGGCGGCTTCTGACCTGTTATATAAATGTGCAACCCAAGATGACCCCGCGATCTAAAGCACAGTAAAAAAACAGCGCAATAGTTGCCTGGGGTATTTAATTAGTTATTCACACTTTCGCAGGCAATAGATAAATGAGGAAAATAATAGCGCAGCACAGTGTGTCAACAAAATTTATAGAGTAATTGTGCCAGCAGTAGGAAAATTATCATTTTCCCAAGCAGGTGTTTAGCAGCCTTGCTTTATCCGACCATTTTGCCTCTGTTCGTCAGCAGGTTTGATAGCAGGCGTTAATGAGCGTATTATCTATGAACTATCGTGAAAGTGTGATTAAGACTTCCTCATCTAAACAATGACAAGGACAAAATAAGTATTGATCCCAGCTGAATTTCAGAAAATTGTCACGTCTACTAAATCTAGCGTGCATAATACGTATTGATTAACGCCTCTTGCAGCTGGTAACATTCTGCCTTTAAGGAAAAATAAGTGAAGCAACCGGTAACGTATATTGCATTCACGGCAAGGTACCGCGGTGATTCAACCGCGACTATTGAGCCAAATTTCGTAACACGGAAAAATCTCTTTTGAAACATCTCCAAAGTCACATAAGCAAGTGTGTTTTATTTGCAGAACCAGTTATGAGCTGGGCAATACGAATCTTCATTCAGATTAGCATGAGATTGGGATTAACTTTCAGTAAATTCAAGCAAAAAGATCTTAACATTTCTTTAAGTACTTTCTCTATACGTAGAGATCAAACAAATCTAATAGAGTCTACAATAATTGTTTTATCGTTAGATATGGATTTCTATATTTTGTTATAAATGGACGCTAGGTTAGCTTGTTAGAACACTCTGAGTAACAGCTTATTTTTCTTTGACGGCAGTCAAGCAGAAGAATGCCATAAGGATAGCAGAAATGCAGTTTAATGTAAACATATTTAACCAAAGACGTTAAATGTGTTTTTCTGGTCGCTTGTGAATAAATCACTCCTGATTGATGAAATCAATCGCGAAGTTGCGAAAAACTGAATAGCAGTGGCTGCAAACTGAGGGAAAGTCATACAAAGACTTGTTTAGTTCATTCATCTTTCGGGTATCTTTGGCTAAATAACAAAGAGTTAACAAGTTTTGTTTGGAAGGGAAACACTGTAATGTGCATTAAAAAGTCAATCAATTACGCTTATTCTGTCTGATTTAATTTCAACTAGACAAAGGTATATTGATAAGTATTTTTTGTTAACTACGAATGCTCACTGTTAGTGGGCATTAGGCTTATATGAACAAGTTGAAGGCACGGAGTAAATTGACGGCGGTTCTATTCATTTCTCTCGTATGTAGAAAGCATTAGAAAATTTCTGCCATTTCGACATTGAAAACGGTCAAAGATCGTTGTGGCTGATCTAAAAAGAGGACTTACGAGACGAGGCGCTCTTATCTTTCTCTCTTACTTACAAAATAAGTAACTCGTATATATCTTAGCAACCACTAAACATAGCAAGTTATTACATTTCAGTTGTGCTTTCTTCTTATATACGTTGTAGAGATTTAGTTTTTGAAAACGATCACTTGCTAACCACCACTGCTTTTCGGCCCTTGGTAACGCTTATAGAACAGGATGTTATTAATTCTTACTTATATGGGAATTTGTTTGACAAATAAATGTTCCTTCACATTCCATTACAGAACGTGTATATGTCCATCGAAACCATATTACCTTAGTGCTGACAAAAACCAATCGGAGGCTAAATGGTTCAAATGCGCTAGAAAATTAAACGATTTTATTGGGTCAATAAAATCGAAGGACATAGACCACGTATGGCTGGCTCTGTAGGGAACAAATGTCAGCGTTTTATTAAACCTTTTAACTATGCAAAAAGTGCGGAACCATGAATACTTTGACGATTTAATCTCGAAATAACAATTACGTAATCGCTGATTTTTCGCAGTGTCACCACTTAGGCACGTGATAAGAAACGTGTCAGACGTAAGTATTGCTCCTACTAGTATAAATTCATATAATATTGGCTTCCACAATTAGTAACAGCCAGATAATGTAGACGCATATGCTGTGAACATAGACTGCTCAGTACGTCCGTTCTATAGAATATATATATATCTTCCGTGTTTTAGTCTGACTTGTAAGTCACGCAATAAACATATTTTAAAATCTACAATGATTTTTTTCAAAAACAGATTTTGTAAAAGTTAAATTAAATACGAAAGGGCTTGATAGCGCTTTTATGTAAATAAAGTCACTTTCGGTGGACATAGGTGAAATGGCTTTTACGATAATTATATTCGCAATAAGACGAAATACGGAGGGCCGTAAGTTATTTGACATAAAAAACGATAATTAACCATACTTTAGGTATACTCAGAAACGCAGTACTGATGCCCCACTCAGTGTGAGCTGCAATACGTATTTAGCTGTGAATTTGTCAATCGTTACCTTTTTCCATGCTTACTTTTTAGGTCCAAATAAAACTGGGTACTACTCAATAAAAACCGACAGAAAGTGTGAAGAATAGTGTCGGCAAATATCAGCGGCAAGAGAATAGTTGTTTATGAGACAATTTAAAAAGCTCAAAACAGTGTCTATAACAGCAATGTACAGCCGTTCTCCTTGAAATCTACGTGTGAGCACTAGTGAGCAGTCATATGGAAAGAATACAAATAAATATGCCTATTTCCTAACATGGCATAGCCTTTCGTCAGATGACAATAACACAAGGAGGCCGGAGACACGCTGTTTGTTGAGAAGCACGCAAAAATATCGGAAAAGCTTCCATACAAGTAAACAACACAAGTAAAATACAACCAAAGTATAGAATCTCGTGAGTCATCACAATGACGATCTTCGTATTAAGGTGCAATATCCATGCCATAAACGTGTTTCGCTAATTAATTTTTTCGATTGAATACTATTACCCAATATTTCTGCAAATTGCAGCACATATGGAAGGTGCTCTATTCGATGATTTTGGTTTGTTATCGATGCCCGTTGACCTTAACGCTTAGATGATAATTTGTCGCTTTTTTATTAAAAAACAATAATATAAATCCTCTATGTAATCTATAAGGCATATAATTAGTTAGTGTGTTTATCGTTTACGACTCAACCAATGAGAGCCTAACATTGCTTGATAACGTACGAGAGTGATGTGCTATTTTCGTGTTTTGTCGTGAAGATGTACGAGCGAACAACAGCTGCGCTGTCGAGAAAACCTCCAATTGTATTCAACAGGCGATTAATCAACTGTGCGCGGATAAAGAAGGATGGCAGGAGGGCGGAGTGAATGGTGTTGAGCAGCAAATGTAAAAATGAAATTTTCAAGCGTTGCAGCAGCTTACTAGTGAAACTATATACAAAAATATGATTGTACGATTGCTAGAAACGATTTCCATTGCTTTTGTCGCAAGTTTAACATCCGCACAGTAATAGTAAATACAACACGGATCACTAACGCATTGAGTTGAAACAAAGGCAAATAATTTTTCATTTATAACGGATCACATCTGTTGTCGCAGTTGTGGTTAGGCACCAATGGGGAGTGTCACAATTACAAGAATGATAGACACTTCACTAAATATATATATAAACGTAGATACAGCGGATTGCTACATGTGTCCCTCATTTGGCTTTTTAACTTAAAACGAAATCGCCCTACAAGAAAAAGAAAAGTGCTGGTTTGTCGTTTTTTGGCAGAGGGTTTACGTGTACCTGCGTGTGTATGCGTGTGTGTGTTTGTGTGCATAGAGTAATTTTCGTTCGATCTTTTCGATTGTTGTTGGCGCGCGCGCAATACTACGCAACGCCATCGTTACTGCTGCTCATGCTGTTACTGCCTGTAGCATAGTCAGCCTGCCGGTTGTGACGCTCTGTGGCAGTGGGACGGGTCGGGTCGGGTCGGGACAGGGCATCAACGTCATCTATGTGCGATTATGATGCTATGTTTCGTGAACCAGTGGCGCGGCGCGATGCGGCACTCTACCACACCGCTCCGTGAGCGTCACAGCCAGTCACTACGTTACATTAGTTGGGGTGGGAACGGAACTGAGGGCTGGACCGGCAGTTAACCAGCCAATCTTTGGCGAGGAGTTCGAATTTGTGTGTATGTGTGCATGTGCTCGTGTAAATGTATATATGTGTGTATGTGTGTGAGTTTGTGTGTGTGTGTGTCTGTGTGTGTATGTGTGTGTGTGCGTGTGTGTGTGTGTGTGTGTTAGTATGTGTGAAAGTGTGTGTGTGTCAGTGAGTGAGCGTGTGTGTGTGTGTGTGTGTGTGGTCGTGGTGTTTGTGTGTGCGTGTATGTGTGTGTGCATGCGTGCGATGCGTACATACGTTGTAGATTTGGCTGCAATCTAATACTGGGTGGTTGTAGGGACAATTGTATTTTGTTCAAGTCAAATAATTATTGTGGAAAATTATTTACGGGAGTAGGGCTGACATGAATAAGTAATATAATGACATGAATAAGGCTGACAGTATACAATGAGACACGAAAAGCTAGTCTGACGATTGGTCTGAGTGTTTTCGTAGGTTAACTTCGTTATCTTTCATTAGAATTTTGCTGTGTTATTCATTTTTTTCAAATCGTTACCTCGTCATTGCGCCAGCACGTTTTTTCAACACCGACGTAGCAAACCCTAATACTTAACAACAAACAGCTTTCACTGTCTGTTAGTTGCCGTTACCCGGGCCCTCAAATATTCCAACCATCATCGTGCCGTCACTTTTGCCATTGTCAGAACACTCTAAAGGCTCTTCCCCGTCGCTGATTCGTTTACTCTTTCTCCCTTCTTTCTCTCTTCTGCTACCCACTCAGATCCAGTGGCACCCCACGCTGCGTGGATGGGGGTCTGTTCGAGAGGGAGCGAAGTGAGCACCCGAGCTGGCTGTCAGCTAGCTAGCTAGCAAGCCTGCCTGCCTAACTACCGGCTGCTGCTGGCCTTCGAGGTTGCGCATAAACATTATACATAGCTAGGGAAGCTAGAGGAGCCTTCATTTTCGCTAGGTGACAAACGATGTCCGCCAGTGTTTGCAGATTGCGGCAGTAGCGAGGTCGACTGCGGCAATACCAATCAGTGGCAACCAGCGGTGATGCATGTTGTTGCAGCGAAGTCGGTTACCGCCTAGCTGCTGCTGTTGCTGCAGCATCGGCTGATAGAAACCAGGATCAGGAAGTTAACGCCGGCGGACGAAACGGATGGCAAATCGATCGACACACGGACGGACGGACCTCTACCGTCACCGGATGGATGCTTGTTACACATCCAGCAGCTCCGACAGCAACGGCACCGACGCCGCTTGTCACTACCGCCGGCCGCCGTATTATCACCCGCTCCTGGCGCCGGTCTTCAATTCTACCGTTGCTGCTTTCTGCTGATGCTATGGCTGGCAGGTAGCAGTTGGTGAATGCTGTTGGCAGCGGCTGCTCGCGACCGACGCGACAAGATGTCGTTCCACTCAGTATCGGCAGCTGGACTCATGAAGGTGGCAGCAGCGGCGATCTGAGAAGAAGATGCCGCCCTCGTCACAAAATGAGAGTAGAGCAAAAACTTTGAAATTTTTTAAGGTTTGGACCGTCCGATATTTACTGACAGCTGGCCGACTAACTGATTGACATAGCATGTTGTACAATTCTAGTAACATATTAACGCCCCAGAGACAAATAGGCGTAAACAAACGCTCCGTAATTATATATATTCAAGATGTTTGCGAATGCCACTGGTACTTCGGTTCCGGGACTACGAGAGTAACTACGGGCGGAAAAAGGGCAGCTATTCGATTCGACAGCGTGATAGAACACGCTTGATAGCGCCGCCGTCTTCCCCCGCATAATCTCAGTTTGCTTTACACTTCCTGGCGGCCTGCGATCGGATGGCGGGCAACGGAAGGCTCCGGGCCAACTTGTTGTCCTCACGTTCTACCGAGGTTTGATTAGCTAGCATCCGCGAATATGACCGACGGCAGCATTTTCGTTCTTGTCGCTGCTGCCGCCGAAGTCTCAGCCACGGTCACCAATGGTGCCGCTCACACACAGTTAGTCCCTGCTGCATTCCCTACCTCACCACCCTCACCCGACAACTCACTCCTGCTGCTAGTATAGCTCGGCCTCGTTGGCCCGGCTTCTCCGGCCTGGTGTCGTCGTTAACTGAGGCTAGTCAAGCGACCAGCCAGCATCGTCGCCACTGTAATAACGAACACGGGCAGCGCATCACGGCGCAACATCTGTTGTTGTGTGGCGATGATCTCAGCGAAACGCATTCTACTAGTAGATAGCCACAGACGTGCACATGAAACACAAAACCGAAACATTTTGCCTGTCCTGTGTGCATAAAGCCTAATATCATTTTTATTCGCTCGAAATATTGCCGTTATCGCTGTTGTCGTCGTCGTCGCAGAGCGAGCCATCCGTAATCGGTCAACCGACTGACCCGACATGTCAGTGCTGTGCAACACATCACAATATAAATTACGTTCTGCATTTTATCCGTTGCGCACAGTTGTCACACGCACACGTGGACAACGTACGTTATATATATACACACACACACATATATATATATATATATATATATATATATATATATATATATGCCGTAGCAGCAGGTATTTGCTACAGTCGGCGTGTGATGACAAATTGAATCGTGAGAGTTATGTAGTATACAGTTTAGTTCTACCTATTAGTAAAGCTAAAAGTACTACCATAATTAGCTAATAGTAGCAATGGTATTATCGTTATTATTATCGTCAGCAGTAGCACTTACCCTGCCTGCTAGCAGCGAGCAGCGTCGGGCTCTCTCATGGCGTTCGTCCCGTTGTTTTGCAGGGCAAGGGGCTGCCAGCCATGGGTTCACGGGCGCTAGCCGCTGCGTCCCGTCCCGGACCAGCCACCACGACCACTGCCGCCCTGCTGCTGCTGTTGTTGTTGTTGCTGCTGTTGCTGCCGTCTGGCTCCGAGTCCTCGTTGCCGCTTCGTCCTCCCGCCGCTGCTGTTGGAGCGACAACAACGACGACGGCGGCTGCGGCGCAGATGACGACAAAGGCCACAGTCACCAGTATCAGTACTAGTTCTAGTGTGTACTAGTAGGACTAGCAACAGTAGCGCACATTATTATTCTAGCATAACAGTTCCCTGCCGCTGCGCCGCCGGTAACGGCGGTTAGTAGTACCTACCTACAGCCACAACCTAGCAGTTACCAGCACAACTCCAGGTCGTAAGGAGTAAAACAATTATTTCTGTTGCTGCTGCTGCTGTTGCACAGCACCCGCTTTCGTTATTGGTAGTGCTATTGCTGTTACTGTCGCCGTTTATGCTGCTGCTGCTGCTCGATCAATGCTCGATGATACGACGTTGCTGCTTGAGCAACAACTGTTTGGAGGACTGCTGCTGCTGCTGTTGCAGTAGAAGTTCTTGATTCTTTCGTAGTAGCAGTTGCGGTTATGGCTAGAATAACGCTGCTAGGCCAAGTAGTAAATAATCGTAGTAGAAGCAGTAAAGCTTGACGCAGTTGTACCACTGCGACAAATCTACTTGCTGCTATTATTGTTATTATTGAGCGAGCGAACGACCCGCGATGCGAGTTGCCCAGCCAGCGACCGCTGCTGCTGTTGATGCCGGAACCAACTGCTAGTGCAGTAGCACCGTGCTGCTGCTACAGATTGGCCTGCAAAGCCAGGCAAATTGCCTGCCTGAGCACGCCGTCCGGCCACCTGCCTACACGCACAAAACGCAACGAACGAACGACCGTATCGTTGTCCGGCTGGTCAGGTCTGCTCGTCCGTCCGACCGTCCACTCGTTGGACGATACACACGTCTGATCGACTGCGGCTGCGGATGATGTTGGCCACTTCTCGACTTGCTGCTGTTACCGCCGTTGACAACGGCGACGACGACGGTGGGGCGAACCACCAGCCCAATATCACCAAGCAACAAACGAACCAACGAATCAACCAGACAATCCAGTGTAAGCGACACAATGAAGACCACGGCGACGACCCACAATCAATCCACTGCTGCTGCTGCTGTTTTAGCTGTTTCTGGCCCCGCAAACACACACTGGAAGAGTACGCGGAGATTCGAGGGACAATGTCTCGCTTCGGACTCGGCCCGCCCGCCCGCCCGCCGTACAACAACGACCGAACGCACCACTAACAACCAAACGGACACGAAATCACGGCGACGGCGACGAGCCAACACTAAGTCAGACAGCACTTCGAGCTAGCCAGCGAGCCAGCCAGCCAGCCAGCTCTGTTCGTCGTCGTATTCTTCTCCTTGTTCTTCGTTCACCAGCAAAGTAACGAACGAACCGACCGATCGAGCGACCAAGCAAGCAGGCATCCACTCTCTGTGTGTACAACATAAACTACGGCCAGCAGGCAGGAGGCAGGCAAGCCACAGTTAGCCTCTCACAGGGCGGCCAGCATAAAGCGAGCAACAGAGGCAGACACAGGCGCCCTCACTAGGAAACGAACGCAGATCGCGTCTTCGCAAGCGCTCGCCAATGAACGCATTAGCTGGCCGGAATCAGAGCGGCGGGCGGTTCGCGGACGGCCGCTGGGGTCGACGACCCCTGCCGGTGGCGCTGGAGCAGCCGATCGAGCTAAAGCACCTAAAGAGTGAGCTAGCCGCCAAAGAGCTCCGGCGAGGATCAGCGGGCTGCCAGCGCCTAGCTAGTTGGTGCCTGTTGGTGAGCGGTGAGCACTGCCGCCGCCGTTGCATCAAGCAGCGCCAGCAGCAGCACAACCATCATCTCGACCGGCCGCCGCAATGAAAGAAGGAAACCGCCGCTGGCAGAGCGGCCAGCAGCAAGCGAGCGAGCAAGCGAAATCGACTGGAGTGCTGGAGCCGAAGCTGTCGACGCAAACAGCGAGCCGGGCAGAGCTCAACAGCCAGCGGAACTACTGGCAGAATGACTCCGATACGTTGATAGAAAGGATGGTCCGAAGAACGGGCAGAACAAAAATTAGGACGCTGATGATTTTTTGTTTTTTTTTTGTCTTCTTCCTTATTGTTCGAAACGCCTTTTTAATTTTATGTGCGATATGTAACAACGTTCAAGATAAAGGGAGAGCAATGATTACAGGAATTTACTTTAACCGAAAGCTATCGCGCAGTAAAGAACTCAGTCATCCGTATTCATTTAGATAGAAACACACCTAATATTGACTTTCTTGAAATTTTGAAGGAATTAAAGGTACGCAATAATGTCGGACAAGCGTAAAATGTCACAGGTCAAACAGATTTACATGATTTTAGAAGTAAAAGCTACCGCTAGATAATTAACTATTTAAGAACCATAATCGGACAAGGTGAGCGAAAGACAGAAAAGCTGTCTTGTATTGTTTGACAATGCTGTTGTGTCGACCTGATAAAAAAATGTGTTCAGCATCTCAAAAAGATACGCTCGTTATTGTCGTTGTAATATTATTGGCGTCGTTGCAGCTGTCGCAGCCATTGGTTTCTCGCTGCAATCTTTTTCCTGCCTCATCCATTGCTAAAAGGTAGCCGCAGCAGTGACGAGCGGCTGCTAAAGGGGCATCCCACCTTTGGGTTATGTGGGGCCCCATGTTAATAAGTCACTAGTGATGATAGTACGAGCCAAATCATTCAAAAGCTCACATTCATCACGTTTTTCTTTTAGCCTCACTGTAAGCATTCATTTCAAACAAACACGAGTTAAGTCAATGCATAGGTGTGCCAAAATAAGTAATCATGTTTAATGAATATCCAAGCAACTATTGAGCAACAATTAGAGCATAAGATTCAAAGATACAATTAGTACTTCTGTGGCGCATATTTAATAATTGCATAAAATGAGCCATGAATTTCTGCCTAAAGCAATAAGAGAATTTTAGCTCTAGTTTAGACTTAGTGTCTGTGAAACCGTACGTAGCAATTATTATCGCGAAGCCCATCGGTGGTTTTTTACAGTTGTAACAAAAAAGTATTTGCTCGTATTATTTAAAAAATACAAGCATAATATTCCTCCTTTTTATTACAAGCATTATGCCTTCTGACATAGGAAGCACGTTAATCATCGATAGTTGGACCTTCCAATTATTTGTCTTTTACTTGCTTTTGATTTTCGCTGCAGGTTAGCGAGACTGCGATCCTTCTCTTGGTCTTCGACTGCCTTGCGAATTATATATTTATAATTGCTATGCATTTTATTTTCTACAACTATTTCCATTCTAAGCGGTCTTTTATTAAAACGAAATTTTTAGGCTTCTTATTTGTGGGTTGCAAGATATTTCAATAAGCTTCATTTAGCTCATTGAAATTGACTGCGATAACATGGTAGACAAATTTTCTTTACTAACAAAATTTCTTAACAAAAGGTCATAATTTTTCTGCTAATATGTGAATAAGTGAATAATCGGTAAGCATTATATTAACAATGCATGAAAAATGTTTTCCCTAATTACTTTTTTATTTTCTTTTTTATAGTACTTTAAACCGTCACTTGTCAGGAATGCCTACAGCAAATCCTAAATTCTAATTAATACAGTCTCTTTAGTAAAAAGCTTCAATTAATTGCTCGTATGATCGTAGTACTAACAAAAACCTGATAACAAAAAACATACACAATATTATATGTCAGGCTTTCAAATTTCCATACTTGGGTACGATTAAAATATCATCGTAAATTTACAATTCTGTTATTTGATGTCACGTCAATATCGTAATAGCTAAGATTGAAAGTTTGACGACCTTATCTTCGTCTTTGTGTTGCGTTACTCACTCTTGTGAAATGCGACTGGTTCAAATTCCCCAGTGACCTGATCCAAATGCATCGTTAACTCTTCAGCAAGTCTTAGGGAATCATTGCTTCGAATGACCTACTACTCAAAGTCGTTTTTTTTAGAAATTTAACCTTTAGTACGTATTTGCAGAGAAGCATTGATTATGCACCACTGTTAATTAAAATTATATGTTTGGCAGCATCATAATTAAAAATGTTCACATTAGTTCGCGTGGGACTTTACAAAAAGAGGCATCGATTTGAAATCACCCGCCCTTTCCGAGTCGATTTTCACTTAAATATGTTTTTTTGAAAACATAGAGCGGTAGCGATCGCCATGTGCTAGTGAAAAACCTAATATAAAAATATGCGTATGAATGAATACGTATGTTGTAGGGTGCTTGGGCACTAGGGTAATTTAATTAAAGCGGGCGAATAAACGCATTTATGAAATGCATGGCGTTCGCGGAGAGAGAAATTCGTGGCGAGAGTAGATTAATATGTAGACATTCCCGTGAGCGAAAGTCGACGCTCGATGTCTGGGTGGTACAGGGTATAGTACATTAATGTCTTGCCGGTTTGAGAGTGAAACATGATGAGATTCATTGGAGGTTAAAGTTCATTTAAACGTATGCAAGATGGTTGCCTACATTTGTTTAGAAGCTGATTTATTTTGAAAAGCTTATGGGAAAAATTGTCCATATAGTTGGTATGGGGTATTATAATCGAAATAAAATTATTGGTGTGATACGTGAAAAAATATTTTCGATAGAGTTAACTATGCATTGGTGTCCGTGCTCCATTCAGCCTTGTCAGGTATTAGCAACTTTACTGGATTTTGGGTTGCCAATTCAAGTACATATTCACAAATTGTACGGCATTTAATAGAAAGACATATCTGCTTATCACAACCACAATAATACTACCCATTTTTACTTTCCACATTGTTTAGCTAGAAAATCTGTGATTTACAGAACCGTTGTTGATATAGCAAATGTATATAGAACAGAGTTATGTCAGTCGTTTTTCCCACTTTTAATCGCGTGCTCACATGATATAGGCGTTCATTATCAGCGTCCGCAAAGACATTTAACTTCATCTATATGTGCTTTTTGAAATAACAATTCCAATAGTTCATCGCTACAATGTAGTGAGACTGAAATGCTAAATGGGAAGCACTAGGAAACAACGGGTCTATGTAGTCACTGTAGGATTCACTTCCGTCTGTACATACCCACTTATGTTAAGAATCTTCAGAATAAAGCTAAATCACGAAATTTAGGTAACAGTTTTTTTAGAAAAATTGCTTAGTAAATTGATCGATACCCCAATAAATAAAATATTTGCAATGAGCTCAGTAGGTGCGAAAGAAGATGCCCTTGTGGGGCTCAAATATAAAAAATTTTCAAAAATCGGGCATATTGTCTAAGTTAACTAAGGTAAGTCTATTAGAACGATAATGTAAATAAAATCCACCTGTGAAATAAATTTTTTTAGATCAATTTTACTATATTCTGAGCATACCTGACACCCATGAAAGCACACATAGCTCAAAACCTTTGTTAACCATTCTGTTGTCCTTCAAGACTGCAAGTTCTGATCTACGTTAATGTCATATGACTCAAGTAGAGCTGTAACTGACCGCAGTCTGATTTTTCCTACAAAAAGTAGAGCGATCACGTCTGTGTGCTTACTATATATCACTAAAGTCACGTGCTACGATTGGTTTGGACTTGTATCAGCTGAATTACGGATATCCTAGTAAAGAGTCAACTTAGCTGAGACCGAAACCATCATACGATGTCTAGTGTAGCACTCTTCTCTTACTGATTGATAATCACATCATCATCCAATGGAGACTAGTAATGTAAACAGACTAATCTAATACAAAAGGACTCTGGTTTGTATGAGGGAACTTATCCGTTCCCAGTTGTTCTTTCTTTTATAATAAAAAAAAATAATTTTTTAAGAACTTTTTGTTTCAGATCTTGGTCGCAGTCAAAACTGCTAAAATCTTTATTCCATGCGACTACTGTCCCCTTGGTAACACGTTTATAAGTAAAGACAAACTAAAAACTAAGATAACTGTCCCCCAATATACATAAGGTGATAATAAAGGATTTTTATATTTTTATTCAGAAAACAGAATGTAATAACAAATAGATACTGCCCAGAGATAAACGTTTTTAAATTAAAGTTAGCGGTCTAGAATTCGCGAGTTTTTTTCCGAAACTGAAAAAAATATTAGAAAATATTTTCGCGAGATAAACTGCGAATCAAAAAGTCATATTAAACAAGATACATAATTTGGTAATACCTGTACAGTACTTCATATTTTATTTTCAGTGTAATAAAGTAAACGGGAGTGTTAGTATCTCAAAACTATAAGGTTTTAGATTCTAGTCCTGTGAGACAGGTACAAATTGATGCGCTTTTGTAGTTGCAAGTTTGTCAATGAAACATATTATTATCATAATATATTTGACTAACTTCCTCGTCGTTGTAAATTTTTCGTGTAGTTAGGAATTAGGTTTTTGCGATATTTATTGACCAAAAGGAAAATGGAGTTACATTGTAATGTAAATAGGCAGCCGCGGGATGACATCAAACTTATGGTCGTCGTTTAACTCTTTCGGTTTTCTAAGTTCTCTAAACCTTCCTATATATATATACAGTAACATCGCCAGCCTAATAAATAAATAGCATACAATTGGAAAATAATTAGAAATAAAACATCATTGTATCGAAGTCGAAACTATTCTTAAAAATCGTCAGACTTAGAGAAATCCTCGTTTTATCTCTGTATCATTTCAACAGATGCGTAATGCTCGTCCCGTCGTAATAATAATAATACACATAAATATACAAAAAAATAGGGCTAATTTATATATACAGGTAACACTGTTTTTGAGAATCAGTATTATCCCATCTCGAAAGTGATATTTATTTCTCTAGAATATATTCGAATGAATATTTTCTTGCCAAAACTCTATGGAAAATTTGCTTGTTTTCTAAATACCCTAACACTCCATCAACTCATCTAACAATGCCTAAATACCTTCCCAGTTCTTCAGCTGGCGATTGATATTGAAAGGTCATTCTTCCAAGAAAGGTTCGCAGTATAAGAAATAAAGGCGAATCTCATCGTATACATCTTACTAAGTAGGCAGGACAAGTTGTTAATATCGATTCTGTTAGAACGCGTCCTGTCGAAACGTGTTTAATGTGATATGAGCCATTCAGTTGGTGACGCTAATTTTAAAAGTTAAGTTATAGTAAGGGTAGAAGCTAAGACAAACCGTGGGCAAATCTGGTCGATGTTAGACGACAGCTGAATGGACTTTATAAATGCAGATTATTTATGAACAACGTGACACTAACACAAATATATTAATTAAAAGTTAATTAAACACGTTTTATATAATACTCCCTACTGTTATTTTCCTGTCGACCAGCGCAGTAGTTCGAATGCGTTGTCATTCTTCAAAGTTATCAATAAATTTCGACGTAAACATGGGCTTCTAAAAGTAGTAAGGCGTACAAACAGTCCTAAAACCTTTGTTTATTAGGATGAATAATACACTAAAGTGAGTAAATACAGTTGAAGATGAAAGTAAGCAGTATTGAACAGAACGCGACGTTTGCACAGCAAACATAATTAACCAGAGTAGATTATCTTATTTATTAGATCTTCTTTGCTAGGCTGAAGCTAGTTGGTAACGTAAAACATTTAATACTGCCTCATCATATAATCATATAGTGTCCTCTGCCTTTGTACTTTGATCTTTGCCAACATTCACAAGGCCATGTGAGTAAACCTGTGGGAACTTTCAGACCCGCTGACTTTTCTATATTGTACGCTTAATTTAAAATTGTCGCTTAACTTTTACGCGGTTTTATTCGAATAGTGGCAGTAGGTTACGCACGGCTCTTAAATTAATTTTTAAGGCTCTGTCAGTATATTGATCAGATTTACTTAGGCTTAATTTGAGCATATTAGCAATATAATTACGCCGCGAATTAATGACGATTATATTGAAATGTAATGGTTGATTAACGCAGGGGTTATAACAGATATTTTGGGCCTTTTTACCCTTATAACTCTATAACTATGCTAAATACAATCTGCTGACAACATTGATGTCGATCTAAGACGCTTTTCAATCTCCGTTAACCCTAATCATTGACGAGACCGTGATCTCGGCAAAACCGGATTCGGGCTTTTTGACCAAGTCGACTGTTCGTCCATTTAATCTCGCCTTTCGCACAAGTCGGCCTGCTCCCATAGGACCCCCACCATCAAGTGGTTTACCCAAGATGACAAAACCTTTTTTCATGTCGTACGGTGTTGAAATATTAAAACGACCAGGATCGCTGGTTGGTCTCTGTGGGGCTAAATCCTCCTTTCGCAAAGCTATAATCTTAATCTTGGGGTCTTCGGATCTCTTCATGAAGATTTTATCTGTATTAATGTCATGCTTTTGATCGTGTTTACCTGGAAAAGCTACGACATGATCGCTAAAACTGTTACGATACACTACAATTCGCTCTTTGACGCGACCATTGCTATGGCTAGGTCGGTATTCACGGTATACCTGTCGCGAGCCCCGAGGGTATTTATAGATGATTTCTAGTCGTTCATTGGCTTGCTTCTCCGGTTCTTTGCGGCTTGACGGCAAAACTAATAATTTTACCGGTTTTGTACGAGCTGTTATCTCAATAGGATTCCAAGGTTCCTCTCCATTGCCGTCAAACATTGGTCTAAATTTTTCCCTGGAATCGTCGTCACGATGATGTGTAGGTTGAAAACGATTTGTGCGGTATTTTTTCCTTGAATGTCTCTTTCTCCGGTAAGGTTTATCCTGCATTTCGTCTTTCCCTGCACTATGCTCTGTCTCGTCAGGATAGAAAATCATCTGCTCCTTGTTTTCGAGACTTCCAAGGATATCCGAAGCTATTTGTTTTTCGAAACCCTTCGCTGGCATAGTACGGCTAAAGCCGAGCCGTTGCAAAATACCTTTTACGGGTTTTGGAGTCGGCGCAGCAATAAATAGCGGTGCTTTCATTTGTACTTCTCCATTATTAATAATCATAATTTTAGATTGTTTTTTGTCACTGGCTTTCTTTTTAGCTAGCTGTAAGCCCCACATTGCTCCCTCGTTGCTCGTACCAGCAGTAATAATTGATTCGGTCGCGGAATTCGGCCGTTTTCTTGAACCTTTTGTACTAGTCGATTTCATGCTAACAGATACCTTTAAATCAACAACTTTGGATCTTGGTGAAGCCACAGCAGATGACTGGATACGACTCTCTTCAGCACTAAGTCTGCAATTTTCGTCTGATTCAGAACTTCTGTAAAACTTTTTTTTTCTGTACGCACTACTTTTGGATCTTGCGATCGTCTTCGGTACGTTCTTGCCATCAGAGAACATTTTCGGCTCCGTGCTGTCTACTTTCAATGATGATACGTTTTGGGTATGGAATAAAGTTTTCTTTGGTTGAAAGACCTCGACACTATAAATCTTGGCTCCAGCAGTACTTCTGCGAGCTCGTCGAGGCGGTTTTGCAAGTTGGGACTGCTGGTGTTGGGTTACGGTCCCAACAGGTGCCCAATAAAATTGCTTGCGATACACCGGTCTACTAGGTGTTGTGGCTTTGTGTGTCTTCCGACTATTGTGTTTCCCGTATGTATGTTGGTGAATATCCCGTTTCTGGAGGTTTCGCGTATATTCACGTTTGTAACGCGTACCCCGATTTCGACCCATCGTGACTCTAATCGGCGGCACGTCAGTTACCGTCGTCCCTGTTGGCTCGTCTGAGAAGGAAGCCGGACTGACCTGTAAAAACAGAGTTTGTCACGGAACATCACTTTACGAATTAATCATATTATCACTGAATTGTAGACGTTATTTTTTGATTCAATATATCTAAAATATAGGAATCTCTCGTTGATGTTACTAGCCTGTTTCAGTGAAAGCGGGAGTGCGGGGTTATCGCTTTGAAGGGAAGAACTCGATAACGGAAGAGAAGTATCAGATAATGATGGATTAGAAGGACTAGAGGCTCCTCGAAGTTCCAACCTTCCTCTAAAGGCGGGCAGCGGATAATGTAAAATTTGTGGTAAATTGGCATATGGTGCGCGCGTCGGCACTGGCGCAGGTCCGTATGGGGCGTTATCTGAAGTATAGCAATCGATCTACAGTGTGTCCAAAAATAGACTTCTCGCTTACACACAACGCTATAGATGTTAATGACATTGTTTAGTGGCGGAATTTTGTTAGTATAGAGATAATACGGATACCATGTTATTTGTATACTAACAAAATAATGAACTATGAGGAATCGTGCTAGATATACAAAACTTGCTATTCAACTCTTTCAATTTGTGCTTAAAGTTTCACTTGCAAAGAGTCTATTTATCCTATGCGCAGTCTAAGAAGACTGTTACGTAACCAGTTGAGCGAAACCATCGCACTGAAAAAACAAATGATGGTGAGGCTACATGGTCCTACGTTTACCTAACTCGTCCGGTAAGAACAACCGTTAACGCAAAGAAAGAAATGTAACAGGCTACACCAGTTCTCTAAAGAGCCGTCTTTTCTGTGTTTGGCTTTGACATTGAACAAAGCCAGAAGGGAAATTCTTGGTGTTTGAGAAGAGGTGGTCATCTTGGCTTGATAATGCTCGGTTCATGATCACTATGTTGTCAATGCAAATAAGTAGCAATTGCGTCTCAAAAATATCAACGGTTTGACCGTACTGTACTATTCAGTGCTTCCAAAGCTGATGTTGCCTTGCCATAGTAAACGACTTGTTCCATGTGGCATTATCTCGCACCCGTTTTATCAATGAACAAAAAGGCGGTTTACCAAACTATTGAATAATTGGTTCGAAGTCAATACTTATGTTGGTTTCACGCACAGTTGGCCGGTGAATTAGTATTGTGATCAAGAGTGGCAGGACTAATACTCTCTGCCTTCAAGCGATCTCCACCACCATCGTCATCGCCCCTTCCGAAGTCACCTCGTGGCAGTATGTCAAGGGCTTCTCCCCTAAAATCAAATAAGATTACGTCTTAGTTTGTAACTGTTACAATGTTACATATTGGGTTATTATTATACTGCATTATCTTATTAGTATGAATAACATTATGGTAATCATGTTGGTTGATTACCAATGAACTTACATTCTGTTCGAGGGCTCTCGGCCGTCCTTTAGATCGTATGGTCCTTCACCAGGGTCGTCGACAGGAAACATCGGCTTGAAACCACCAATGAGGAATCGTTGATCTGCAAAATCCATGCCAGGTGACGCTGGCCCAAGTTCCCTACGCGTTCGAGCAAGGTAACTGTTTTCGAGCGCAGTTTGTTTAAAAGGTATGAGACCTTCTTCACTTGAGTAGTTTACAGCCCGTGTGGCACTCTTCGATGTTGAATTAATCTGCTGAAAAAAAAAAAATATATATATATATGTGTGTGTGTGTACCGGTATTTGTATGCTATTATATGCATTGTCGTGTTTTTTGTATATCAAATGCTTTTGCCAAACCAGTTCAGATAATCAGGTCAATAATACACCCACATAAAAACCCTGCCCGTCAAAAACAAGCAAGTACTACAAAAAAACTCGATCAAATATACATACATACCGAATAAAATTATTTTTCGTAAACGTCAAAGCAATAAGCAGTTATTTCAGAATATTTTTTTAAAACGTTTTCGATTTTTGCATGCAACAGACCTTCGTCTATGTACTCAAGCAAAAATCCTCTCAGCAATTTTCAAACTGAGCGTAATGTTGTATTTAGGGGCAATCTGCATTTGAGACTATGAATTCATGTACAAATCAGATTTAAGATACAACACCAAATGTATACTACTTCGAGCATATTTCAGTATATACTACTTGAAATAAGTTGGTGTAGGGGTGATTATGGACCTTTCGTTGGGGCGCATTGTCGTCTATGACCCCAGAGCTGGTAACGATTCCATCATATGACGATGGCATAATTCTCATTCCGCTTTCATTGTTGCCCCTTAGTTGAAACGGTGTTGACGTAAAGTAAATCGCTGATTTCTGTTGGGCAATAAGCTCCTTTACTCGCGAGGTGGGCAAGCTGTCCTGAGTTGTATCCCTGTAGATAGAAATGGATAAGCCGCAAACTAACACGATCCATTACTCTTTGGGGAAGCGCGAATCGTTTTTATTGTCATTTCTGCACTAGGGGAAAAGCGAATTTACGGCTCTTATGTACACGTCTACGTACATAAAGAAAATGGCACATTTTAAAATCCAACGAAAATTGGCTGTTTTTGTAATAAATCCGCAAATAGAATAACTCCCATAGAGCATATGCATTACTGCCGATTTACAAGACTATATATAGTGAAGTTGAGCCTGATAGTGAATTGATTATTTCTCAACCTAACTAACTTAATAACATATTCGTATCAGCTATCTATGAAAAAAAACTTTCGTTTTGACACCGATCCAAGACTAGGAATGAAAAATGGTGCTCATTTAGTAGCTGTTATACGGAGAAACGTTGACAGAAAGTTTGCATTTCCGTGGCAGGTATAAATAGACCCAATATCTGTGAATAACACTTCTATAATGAAGTTGAATTACATAATGAAACAAAAAAAACATTGCAGCATTGAAGAATCGTAATCTACCGTTAGTTAAGCCCAGCGTTTATCAATACCACGGCCTTTACTTAGCGTGCATTCCATAATATCATGAATAGGATCCAGGCTTAGTTTATCTCTGGGCAGTGTTATTTCCTCGTTGTTACTGTTACAGAGACAGTTGTCCGACATTTATAAACTTGATTTTAAAGTTTACTAGGTGCAGCATTAAGGAGATTGTTGTCTTTGTTCATTCACATTAAACCTAGCTTTGTGTATTTCCGAATCACGAACTATTATGTGTAGCCATAATATTTAATGTTTAATTTACTATTTAGCTGTTGTAGCCTTAGCACCACTAAATGCGTTTATAAAACTCCCTATTTTTTTTTTTTTTAGTTGGCGTTTACCGCGACTTCTAGCGTTTTCGTTTGGCTATGGCGAAATCTCTTAGCATTCTATATTTCTTTTGAATATCGTTTGGCACTCATCAGGAGAGCAAATTTATCGGATCTAGGTAACATGGAAAAAATCTCCAGTTAAGTTTTGTTTTGAAAACTCTTTTTTCTTATGTTAATAGGCATTGAAGCGGTTCAATTTTATAATAAATCGACAATTATCATACATCTCTAATTACCATATTTAGTGGTTACCAAGGAATCAAATGAAAGCTGGTGATGAGAATATTAGCGTAGAAAAGCATGCTTACATGTTTAATTAAATATTAAGTGGTCTTGTTAGGTTGAAGTTAGTGTACTTAAATTCCGTAAGTTTAGCCCTATTTTGAAAATGTTTGTGTATCTACATTTTTTAGTTTGTAGTTTTTTAAGACCTGTCATAGAGAGAAGTCTTTAATTTACTACTATTCGTTACCGATCTGTAGAGCACTACTAACTACCTGTATGATAGCGTTCTGTACTGAAAACAGAAACTATACACGCAGTTAAGCGTGTATAGAGACAACCAATGATGATTCCTACTTGTTCCTAATAGTTGTCGCGCAACTATTGGTCGTGTAATGGAAGATCAGCCTGTGAAGCGCTTTCTGTCAAAACTTACAAATAATTATTTCGCTCTATAAACGTTTTGAAACACAAAAGGAGACGATAATGTAAAGACAACACAGATTTCCTCATAATAACATCAACGACTGACGACATTTATTTTAGCAAACAGCCACAAGAACGACACTCATTCAAACGGTGCAGACTAATGCGCTTGTTTGACACAGAAACATACACAGACACATTTAGTGACACGTAATACAGATGCGTTTAGGGTATACACAGAAGTGAGTGTAGTGATCGAATTGAGAACAAAGACGCCCATTACATACAACAGACATGTACCCTTTAGCAAAGATAACACAAATTACTTCCTTCGCACTTGGTTAAAACTTAATTAGAAGAAGAGGTGATTTAAAATAGATTGCCGTAAAAACTCCTGACCGATACTGGATAACATATTGATATATGGTTAATATATGAGTTTTGGTTTCGTCCTATTTTTAGCCAATGCATAAAAAGATCAAAATTTGTTACGAAACAGTGCTTCAATGCATTAGCTATAGTACTCTATTGAGAGTAGTGGAACATTAACGATAACTTCCAGTGCTTGTTTTATGGAATATTTTTGAACAAAACCCACCTCTTTTGTCTCCTTTGGAGTTGACTTGGTTCACCAGAATCATTCTTATATGAAGTGCTACCTTTTCTGTATGGCGCTCGTGGTATTATGATCGTTTTAATGACCGTTGGCGATTCCTGAACGGTTTCTATTCCAGCTGACACCTGTCCATCAGTTTTGTCTTCATTTCGATCATAATAATCAGTGCCCCTCTGGGACTCGTAGTCAGGTCCGTCTAAGGCAGCGTACCTTTATGGAATAATTTGCATAAACAGTATTAGTTGTCAACGGATGAGTGGCAAGTACCTAGTTTCTACATAAGACACTTGACAAACGATATTTGGAAACGCGTAACCATGTAGTGGCGTCTATAGTGCACATTAATATTATCGTTATCCTCACCTTGTTCTTTACCTACTACAATTCAAGAAGGAGCCTTAGACAAACCTAAGGCCCATTCATACAAAAGTATCTTTCTATCATGGCTATCTGTCAGTTGTGTAATTCCAGCTATTCGTTCCTAGCAAACAAACATACTTCTCTTCGTTACTTTTTGGTCGATCAGTCGCTTCATTTATTTCTCCAGCTTCGCTATAGGAAGCTTCAACATGGGTGCGAACAGCTTCACTATATCCGTCGGGAGCAGTCTCTTGATTTCCATCAGCTTCGCTACGTCCTTCGCTTCCTCCGTTGTCCTCATCGCTTCCACCAGTAACTTCATCACCATTGAACCCTTCGGCCTTGTAATTACCATCAAAGCCTTCGGTCTTGCCGTCGTAGCCATCATCAGTTCTTTCAGACGAAGCACCTTCATTTTTCCGATCCTCTTCCTCGAGAATTTCCCGATACGGTTTCAGTTTGGGTTTAGGCTTCTCATGGAAATCGAGCGATCTTGAATACGATTCTTCTCGGTTCACCGGTTTGTCACTGCTACTCCATTCGGCATAATTGTCGTTTTCGCCATAGTTGCGGCGACCTTCGTCTGGATTTTCATATCCCTGATTCTTCTCATTGCCATCCCCTCTAGCTTCACTGAAACCCTTGTTGCGTTCGTTACTATAGTCACTTTTTTCAAAGTCACCGTAGTTGTCGTCTGTCGTGGCATCATAGCGGCCTACGTCATTACCAGCGTCTCCGCTCGCTTCACTTCCAGAAGTATCGGAAGGATTTTTTGATGGATTATTCCCAGTGTCATTTCCGTTTTCATCTTTACCACCGCCGCTGTCACTACCTAAAATACGTGAATAGGATGTATCCGTATTATTTTAAATAACACGACATGTTATAGTGTCAACATGGCAACAACTCCAATGCCACAACTGTGTTTAAGATAAGTGGTTGATCGTTGAAGAGCGTTTTGTTATTGCTAATATTCACCTTTTGATTCATAATCGTTATCACTAGCAGGATTATGACGGTCGCTGCTTTCGTAGCCACTGTCGTCTGTATTTCCATATCTGTGGTCGTTGTCACTTGCATTCATATCGCGTTCATCACCCCGATCTCCAGGATCACCATTATCGTCGGCGTTTACAGCATAGTTATTTTCAGACACTGAACTCGTCCCGCTATCTTTATCGGTGCCGTCTCCCGAAACGGCTCCGTAGCTGTCTTCATGACCATTCTTATATGCAGCGTCGGTCTCGCTCCCATAAACCCCATCGACTCCTTTTTGTCCATAACTTCCGTCATCACTCCCAACGGTTTTCTCAAATTCCCTATATCGGTGTGAGTAAAATAGTCGTAAATTTGCTCAAATTTCTGTACGAACAAAACGGATATTGATAGTGCCCCTATAATCTAAAGTTAATAAAAAGTTTCGCATAAACCTAAATTTGTATACGGATAAACTTATCTTGTATCAGTCAATTATCTTGCAAAGCTGTGAAGCGACCAGGGCCTAGAAAAGGCGAAAAAAGCTGCTGAAGCATTTGATAAAGGATCGTTAATGATACTAAAACTCTTTTTAAGTTTTAACGATAAACTATTTTTAGATCTTCGAATTTAATGCTTTTGTGAACCAATTATGGACTACTGTTAAAAATACTTCTAGTCTGGCGAGAGCACGAATCTGTTTTAGCGGTTGACCTGCTAAACTATTTAGTACGTCCCCAAGCGACCAGTATTTAAAAATTCCTACATTACTTCTATTCGCAATTGTGTTATACTTTAAAAACAGAAGACCCCTTTGTTTGATAATGAAGTGAGAGTCTACTCGAACATTTTGTCGTACTTGGCCACCGCTCGCTCAGCGCTAACCACTTCTTCCTCTAATTTTGCCTTATCGTTATGATCGTACCCGAACCCATCTGCTGGGCTACCATCATCTTCCTGAAAAAAAGAAAAATTACGATGAGTAAGTTCCAAGTGGTTGGGAACTTGCCAATCTGTCTTTCGTTTGTTTTAGCTTGCGTAAAAAACATGAAACCTAACACAAATATCACTCAAAAAAATCTAAAGTACCACGTTTCCAGATGAGGAATCCTTATGATCGTAGTCAGGCCTGTCTTGCGATTCCTGCGTGGGGACTTCTCGTCGGTTACGAACTCCTATAGCTGATACCTCGGCAGTCTCCTGTTTCTCAAGTTTTGCGGCAATGGGATCTTGGCCGTATTTATCTTCAATCGAGGAACTTTCCGCCACAGTTATCACATCAGGGTCATGCGAATAAGTGACGGGCAAAGCCTTCAACCGAGCATACGGAAATCTAGTCAGTCATATATATACATATATGACTACAATGATTAGCCCATATACGTAGTATTATAGTCCAGTTCAACATTTGGCCTATTTTTCGTATGGGCTTATGGAAAAAGTAAAGCATGACAACCAGAAAGTAATAATTTTTTTTAAAATTTACTCTTGTTGCTGTTGCGTATTTGCTAGGCTTTATTGGGTAGTTTCAGCATATTGTTATATTATAAATGTTGTGCTTTCATCTAGGAATTGAAAGTCAGAAATGACACATTATGCGACTTTTGACATGTCAAACTCATGTAACAATGGTGTTACTAATCATCTTAAGTAAAAAAAAAAATAATAGTAAAGAGAAAATCCTGGTACGAACTTCCAGCTAATTACAATTGTATTATATTTGTATGCTTTACGTGTGCATCTGTCGCAAATTCCTTTGTCATACAAAATCCATAGTTAAGCGCTTGCAAATACTTTACAAACAGTTATTAAAGGATAAATTATACTACGAGATTAAGTAAAGTTAAATTGAATAAGAAGTTACCAAGAATTGCATTGTATGTCATGTTTTTATAAAATTAATAAGATTAAAAATAAAATTTTAATAAAAATTAAAATAAATTTGTACCAATACTTAGTTTTTTAAAAAGGCTTTTACTTTCTGGTCTAAACTCGTAAGTGATAATTTTTCAAAACTGTTGCGAAAAAATAACGTATTGTTTAATTTAGTTAATAATTATTTAGAGTTAATTGAGCTCTGTTTGGAAATAATAATTTTTGCGGAGTGCCTCAGTTGCATTCTTCATATTTATACTGTTTCTGATGTGAATATAAAAAAAACTTAATGAATCAATTTTACTCCGGCTCTTCTATAGACTAACCTTAGGTAATCTACAAAGCATAAGTTTACCTACCCTCTGCGGCTGCATCACTCTATGAATGAACATTGGATCCTTTGCTGCAGCAGAAGTAAGCTGAAACTGATGCGGCTTTTCACTATGGACAACATCGACGGGAATTAGATGTTGTTCATCGCTGGTTCCTAGAAGACCCAACAAAAGCAGGATCGCCTCCTGCATGGTGGTTCCTTGGCCTTGATGTGGCTACGTGATCCGTTCTATCCCGCTTTAGATTGATAAAGGTTCACCTATAGCTTCCAGCCTCTTTAAATGTACCATACGCAACGGATACTCCAAAGCGGCAACGCGTTACAGCGCAACAGGGCGCACATAGAATACTGTGGAAATAGCCAGCTACTTAGAGTAACATAAATATAAAACAGCTTTGAATAAATAATAATATGGAGGATGGAGAGAGCAATACGCTGTTTTTCCTCAGCCAATTTTCATTCAAACATCTGATCTCCTTCGGGACGTTTATGTCCAGCTAGTACACAATAATCACCGTCATTTTCAGACGGGCCGTAACCATACGAACGAACGAGCACAACAGGCGAGCGCACACGATGAAGACACGCCGACACCCAGACGACAAAAGGGCTATACTGAAAATACACGAATACGGTTTTATAGGGGGACAACTAAAATTAGACGGGATCACATACTGATGCCACTTGAGCGTGGGCTGACTTTAAGAGGTGAACGCACGCCTTTGACATGAAAACGGGCTATAAAGCTGGGTTGAAAACAGCTGAAAGAGAAAACAAAAGTGAGACGAATGAAGGCGGGATTGAAAGCTGAACCCGCTCCTACGGACCCCATGCGGGCACCCCACTACCGCTACAAGTATTGGTACCTATGTTACTATACCAAAGGTAAGAGCAGCTTTGCCCGTTCAGCCACTCGCTCCTATAGTGTCGCTTGCAGCAATGGTATCCCTTCCATAACCCATCGCTCCAGCGCCGGCAGCAACGCGCGACACGTTACCTGTTTTCGTACTTACAGCGATCCGAGGGCTCGAATCGCTGCTACAACTGCAAATGCAACACCTCGTCGCTAAGTTTGGTAGGACGCTATAGTGGGTATATTACTATCCAGTTGATTAACTAGTCGCTCAGCTCTACATAGCTATTCAGCCGATAACCAGTCAGCGGTGGGTCCGCTAAAGCTACCGAAGCTCTCACGACGGAGACCAAATAAGGTAGCTATTTTTTGGGAGTGACAATTTCTCTTTCTAATAGTCAATGCTGTTGTATTTTTTGCGTGAGGCGATTAGCTGCCCCCCAGCCGACGACCAGGAGACATTAATAGGTGTGTTGAACGATGGTCGTAGTGAGCCACTGGACGGTCAGCGCAGCGAACGGGCAAAGCTGTATGGTATCAGGCGTCGCGAATACAAAGGCAGCACCAATTGACGCAGCTGACAAACGTCGATAACAGCACTAGTACGTGTAGTCTTTGATTTGCCGTTATCTTTTTATCTACCTGTTATCCGTTGCTCGCCAACATGCAGGTTTTTTTCATCAGATATACGCGACAGATTTCCGTCAGCAACGGCAGGGTTGTCTCATCATAGTGGCATCGTCTTTGGCTTTGACGCGGTTGAAAACATCTCAGTTCGAGTACGAATGTTTTTTCGTGAACATTTCCCAAATGTTCACTGTTGTTTAGAAGTAAATTTATTCAAAGGATGCACGCGTATCTCTTGCGTATTTTTTTACACACTCGCTATTCAGAGATATGGTCGCTTAGAGAAAACACTTAAATTATATCATCATTTTGATAGAGTCGTGTGTATTGAATAAATGTTACAATCAATTATAAAAACGAAAACAAGTGGAGGAAGAAGAAATTCCGGCGGGCGGGAAACATGATTTTACTTTCTTATAGTTTACTAATATAAAACAGTCAAATCATACTGATTAATTATCAAGTAATGCAAGTCGACGAAGTCCATGACTTTTTCTCGAGTTCTTCCCCTAAACATTTTTGATTCGAGTTCTTTCGTTGCTTTCCCTGTTGTTTATGCTGTGTTTGTATAAAAGGTCTTTGACTCGACGTCAAACCTCCATCATGACTCTCATTTTCGTTATGCAACATGTAGCCACAACTTCACTCACTGTATTTGTAATAGTAATGCAGCAGAGATAAATCTTATATTAAAAACAGGTCTATAACTTTTTTTGCGTTTTTTTTTTGCCAGTGTGCTGCAGACCAAAAGGAAATGCTGAAATGTGAAAAGACGCCCGAACCTGTATGAACAAAAAGGTGTACGTGGTTTCACAACGATGATATTGTTTATTTGAATTATACTAGAAAGTTTCGTCAGAAAGGTTGATCGTTACGTGCAGGTGCAAGTGATACTTCCATCGTTTTCAGCTGTCCAGCCAACAAATTACCCATGTGCCTGAGTCCAAGCAAAAAGTGCTGTTTACGTACAGCTATTAAAATTAGTGCGCAATACCACGACTGGTGTACATCAGCGCGCCATATGCTACACTAAAAACTAAATAGTTCAAAATTAATCCTTAGATTACTGCAGCTGCATTTCTATTTTTTACACTTACCCGTCGATCGAAATGTCTCCGATTCCTTTAAGATAACCTTTTACCTAACGGCGAAAAACAACACTAAATCAATCAATCTAACTAACGGAGTTTAATTTCTATTTTCATTATATACGATACAAATGTCTTAAAAGTTTAACAAGAAATAACGTATGTTTATGGAATTTGGTAGTTAATCTAAACAAAATTCGATGTACTTTTGAGTATCATTGTTTATTCTGCTGCACTGCATGACATGATAAAGATGAAATTGATTTCTTGCAACAAAAAGGCATAAGATTTACACCGAACGCCGATACTGTTATTAATGTATTCATAGTGATTTCATCGTACTTTACCAGTGTTAGCTAGAATTATGTTAGCTTCAAACGACTTTTCAAGCAGCAATATTATTATTGTTTAAGGAAATAAAAGCGCGGTTATGTAACGCATTTCTTAGCTATTAAGCAACGAAAACCAAGCAGTTCCAAAAATCAGTACCAACATCTATACGAATAATAATAAAACTACAATGACTGCCGCATCAAATCTACATTTGCTCTTCCATATTGTGTACGCGGTTCCATTCAATCAATGTCCAATTTCCAAACGCTGCATTAGATGCAAGGCAGCACTTCGGCAGTGCTGGTATCGCTAAACTAAGTTGGTGTTGTGGCTCAAAAAAAAAGATAAAAAGTCGGCGATGGGGGACTGGCGTTTCGCCCATTTGTCTCGGCTTCACCTGATGCTGGCTGTTGGTGCAAGCGATGCAAGCTGCGAAAACAGGCGGAGGAGCATGGACCAGTCAAGAATGTGTCGCACGTTTGTTTAAGCCTATTTTTTTAGCAGGCGGGAATGGCCCCAACGGACGCCCAGGATAACAGACAATTTGTAGCGTGAGATGATTTCAGTTGGCAAAAGTGCCTCGCGAGAGGGCGCAGACTTATGCGAAAGGTACGCACAGCTAAAGGCAGTAGTTTAAAGTGAGGGAAGCAAAAATAAGAAATTCAATAGCAGATATGAGTATGTATAACCATTAAAGCTTAGAAAGAAATCGATTGACATGGACATGAAATAGACGCGCGATAACGTGCTGCTTTGCGGCAGTTATTTCGAATGCGTGAATGTGAGGTATTTGTAATGTTGTCAACCAACCTGAGGATCCCGGAGAAATGCACCATATCTATAAAATTGTAAATCCGTTTTTATATTGTCTTTGACCCGTTTCTGTAGCGTAATGATGTTTTCGCAATATCAGATAATCCATTAACCCCACCATGTTCGCCATCTACTTGTCTGCAGGTAATATATGTGTTGTTTACCTTTTAGAAATATTGTTTTGATACTGATCATAGAAACAGTTTTACGCAAGTTCGTCGTGAGTTACTTCATATCCAGCTGCAAAAGTGGGCACGACAGACCGTACCTTATACGTAAAAGTCAACTTGACAACTTTCAATTTTTATTATGCAAAATTTAACTTAGAAAACTTATCAATTCAAGCCTCAAAGGGTAATTTCTTGTCAGCTCGTTTACCAATTATCATTACTGCACACGTTCATTTGAAGGCTTATGCCAGAAGTTGTAAGATCCCGGTCGTGATTTCAGTTGAGATGTAAACGGTCAAGTACTTCAAAAAAGATCGGACAAAATTTGGTACTTATGGAAAAACTGGAGAAAAGAGAAAAACACCAATTGCATCATTATGCGGCCTTTTGTTTGTACAAAAATGAATCTACAGAAAACTGCATATTTATATTCCTAATCTACTCTGTTTTCAATTTTTTCGCGAGGTCCGGAATATCTGGATACACTTTAGACAAATTAAAAAAATTATGTTTTGAAAATTTGAAAAAATGGAAATGAGATAATTTCGGGACACAATCTTCCTGTACAGTAATCAAAATGAAAATGTTAGTAATAAATCATCTTTTTCGCATAGCAGATTTCTCAAAATCAAACTGCGTCTTTTCTTCGAGCCAAAAAATTGTTCCCTAACTTCGATACAAATATATCAGCAGAAACAGGTTGTACACATAACATGCACAATAATTTTAACGATCCTTGACATAATCCGGATAAATTCAACTCATATTACGGCTACCTTGCTTCAACACTTCATAGTTCAAACATACATATTCAGCATCGGAAGAGGCGACACCCACTGCGATTGCTATCCCACCTACTACGTTCTCTATTATCGTAGATAGTAATAGCTGATCAAAATGCACCTCGTCACAGTTCGCAACGACAGAATGCTACGTTGTTATGATGTTCGCAGCTGATATTTCCTCCAGGGTATGTTGCCATCATTGTATTTTGCACCTAGCGTATTTGGTCTTATTTACTTTTAACAAGCTACTGGCAAGTTGCTTCATCTTTTCCAATCCTTCGCTTTTTCAAGCGACGTTTGAATTTCCAAAAACAGTGGCCTTTGCCTCGTAATTCTAAAATGTATAAAACTTTAAATCTGTAAAAGGAGACCGCACATATTGTTTTCATTAGAAAACGACAAGGGGGCAAAATGTCCACGGCAAACATGCGTCATCCTTTTTCCTTGCAAAGTTAATCATCATACCACTATTTATAGCTCACTTTGAAATTTTACAAATGATCAGACATAATAATCTAAGAATGCCTTGAAGTTATGGCTACCGCTTTAAAACATAAGTGACTTTTATAGCACATAATAAGCGTTCGCATTAAACATAAATAAGAATATTGCTTACGCTTATTGCAGGAGCTAGCATCCACTTAGCGTTTTCTAATAAATTACCGCTAGCCAGTTTCGAATATTGCTTTCTCATTTTCTATCGTCATATTCAAGAAATAATACGAGAATATGAGACTGCCTGAAAAGCCACACCACACTGGCTCTCAGAAACGTTCTTCTCTTTAGCGTTTCCTTGAAATTTAATTAAAATTAATAAAATTATTGAATGGCTAACAAAAGATAATAAATGCCATTTGAATCTATAAGAAAGGGAACTGATCAGCAGATATGCGGCGTTTTTGTTTACAATGGGCATTTTTCGAGATATATGTAATGCAGACTAAAACCAAAAAATAAACTAACGCGTGACAAACCGTACTCCTCCATACTACAAGCAGTTACGTTCTCTGACCGGAACCCCTGTCGAGCAATACTTCAATTATATAACATCAGAAACCTACCTCGTTTGGCTTTTCTGTTACAATCAACAAAATAAAGCATTTTAACAAATATAGCCTACCTCAATCAAATATTTAACCTAACTTCGTGTATTATTGATTAACATTGTACCTCATACACTTCACATTACATCGAAATAGACAGCGGCGGACACAGCAGTCCCACATGAACGATCTCGTATCATTGTAGAGCGTTTTTTTTTGAAAATTCACTTTCACTCTAGACAGAACATACTTTTGTTGTTACTTACGCAAGCAGATATAGAAGTAAGATCCTTACATACCTTACATAAATCAAATTTTAGACCTAGCTATGGGTTATAATAGGAATAATATCTACTAAACTTTTTAACTTCTACCGCAAAAATAAGGGCGTCTCAGCAGCTCTGTAGAACTGTGTTGATCATTGATTGAAAAAAGTTAGAAACTCAATTAAGAGTTTAACGCCGCTCAAAGACAACTTTAATTGTTTATGATTCGGGCGATAACGCGACCGACATGTAAATCAGAAGTGTATTACGCACTACTCATCTTAACACGGCCTCTTCGAAATAGAACTGCTTTATAGGTTGAGGCTGCATTATAGGACATTTGTTTCCCATACTAAAGGACCATCACCGGTTTGCAATTAAAAAAACTTAACGGCCCTTTCCATTTGCCCAGCCTTTGTCACGGTAGGTTTAGTTGAAAAATCCTAATACTTATTAGTTCATTTTAATAACTTCTGTATACACAGAGCTCAAAGTCAAAATCGCTACTGGTAAATGATAAACATATTAAGTATGTATATAACTTGATTAAGGCTACCGAACCGTTTTTATCATAAACATAAATTTGTTTCATAGGAAGATAGAAAAATATAACGCCTTTTTAGCTTTATACTCCTATTTAAAAAAGGGCTACATGAGTAAACAAGAAATATATATATACGCTTCAACAACTACGTAGGATACCATCGCTTAACAGTTAGCGCGTTCGTAAAGGTCTTATAAATGGCCCCTTTTCATTCATATTTTCATACGTGTTATGCAAGAATAGTGGTCGCTTTATTGAGAGTGTTTAACTAAATACTTTGTACACAATGCCGTACGCTCGTATTTACTAGCCAAAAATCTAGAAGACTGTTTTGGGCACTTGTATTGCGGGCATCAGCGAACGACTCCGCTAGTTTTGCTATATTTGTTCAATATTAGGTCGTAATCTGTTGCAGTTTCACGTGAAATGCCACATAGTGATTTTAGCTGAACATGTTCGCGTATAGTTTAAAATTTATCGACGCGTCCTATTAAAACTTTGTAGTGCAAATGGCAAACCGGGGAACGAATGGATCCATGTTAAAACATTTAGAGGCAATGCCGCGCTTCCTGTACTTATGCTGTCATAGGTCATTACCCAAGTTCCTTTACACGCTGCCTGCTTCATACTTGGTAACCAAAGAGACACATACCGAATTTTATATAAAACAAGTATAGCAATTTATTCATGCCACAAAAAACACTGAAGCAAAATAGAACCTCCTCAATAAAAATATGTTTATAGTTTATGTAGTACATAATCTTATAGCTTCATATTTATGTTTAAGGATAATAATTTTATCCATGATAATGCCCTTAACGCTATGAGGCGAGCTGGGCAAAGTAAAGTCTCAAAAAACCATGCTATATTCATAGTTATTCTTATTAGCAATATAGAAACGAATAGATGGAAATGATACAGATGAGTTTAAATGGATTTTTTTACAGGTGAACTTGATTAGCCGGTCTTGCTTGAACGTATAAATATTCGATATGCGAAATATGGTTTTCTCGATTTGGCGAAAACGCCTTACCACTCAATTTCGGAACAGACAAATCATAAAAATCCATGAGACATGCAAGACACTGATAAAATTGCAACCACCTTCTCGTAGGGCCTCCTTCATCGAAGTTCAAGCAGATATGAGCACTTCCTAAGGAATGCCCTCATTAATGACTGTTTCCATTAATACTTCACAACACGAACCCTAATTTAAGTGGAAACACGTAGATATCAACGATAGACAACAAACTGCCTGGCAACCCTCCATGATTGCCTTGACTTGCAGTTGTATATATAAGAGCATACATCACTACGCACAGACGGCTAAATATAAAATAAACACATTTAAATCGCATAAATACATCCATTGATATTTGACAATGAGTTGATAGGATGCCTCATCAGCGATATTGTCAAACAAAGGCACCTTATTTTGTAATAATAATTATA